CCAGTGGACAGAACAAGGCCACCAGACTATATTTCTTAGTGGCTTAAGCCCAGAACAGTGTCCACTTGTTGTTCATTGTACTACAAGACTCGGGAGAGATAAGCCCGTGCACCGGCCAGCGCGTGTTGCTACGGAGTCCCGACCGCAGAAGTATAAAAGGTGCTCCCCATGGGAAAAGGCTCAATTGGCCATCGGGCTCGGTTGCTTATGACTGGACAGCCTTCTAAAGTCTCTGAGGCTCAGTTGGGCTGTGGCTCAATTAACCTCACTCAGTAACGAATGGTAGTCACATTTTGGGCTGCCCAGCATTTTGTATCTGCGTACAGTTCGTCTATAGCTGCCTAAATATGTGAGCAATATTACAGTGTTCTCTACAGCGCCTGCTTGGCTGCGCTTAACTCAGCTTTAACCCACTTGGCAAGTTGATTGGTATCAAAGTAAAATATAAGTAGACATTTTGTCCATGGATGGTGTTCAAAAGCTGGGCGTTCCTAAGCGCAATTTACGCAAAAGCCAGGGCTAACCCAGCAGGTCAAAGACAAAGCTGTATTTTTTGTTGGCCTCTGTAGGGAACTCCATGTTTAGGACCTCTGGGCAAAAGGGCTAATCCATGTGAGCTGTGGACTGGCTTGAGTTGGCGAGCCCAGCAGGATGCGCGGCCAACTGCATTTGTACAGTAGCTCGTTCTCGAGTAGTTGAAGAACGCAAGACTCTGAAACACATAATTAGCAGGCCTCGAAATTGTGTCACTGGGTGCTAATGTAACGAGCGCTTCGCCGTAGCTTCATGTCCTCCGATTGTTTAGCTGCAGCACTGCTTGATAAAAGGCCTGTATGTTTTCTGTATCTGCATGCCTCTGAAGCATGCAACCTAAGCGGAGTGCGTTGCTCGAGTAGATCCACGGCTTGTCTCCTGCTTGAACTCCGATAAGCTGGTGCATTGGCATGCTCATCATCTTTATCTTGCCCTTTCCTTTGCCTTACTTTTCGTAATTGTTTTCAAGTTCAGATGAGATCTCGTCTGCGGTCCCTTAGTCCACACTCCACTACGCAGCGCAATTTAGGTACGAGATTGTGGAAGGGTGTGGCAAATCCGACAGAATGGAACTGATGCTAAATCAAAAAGGGATACCAAGAGAACTATTAGGATACAAATTCACTACGATTAGTGACACTGATATGCTGAGGAGCTGCGGGGTACCGCGCCTGGAACATATACTTACAAGACTCCATAACCTCACACCCACTGCCTTTCTCTTCTTCCTTCTGATTTGGGCCCTGAGTGTTCTCTCTTATCTGGTTTCCCCACCTATTGCCTACCGATGGCTTTTGCTTCTCGTGAGGGCTGTGATTTGGTAGTAACACGATGGAGTCGGGCTCCAACGCAGCGAAAGGAGGCTGTCGTGAATCAATCGTTGAGATATGGGGCTTTCAAACTCGGCCTGGTGCACTTTTATCTTTCTCCTAAGCTCTCTAAGCTGGCGCAAGACACTAAAAATTGCCAGCCAAAGCTGAGAAAGCTAAAAGGCAGCTGCTGTTCTTTTGCGGCCTCCAAAGAGGGTGGAAACCCCCCTATAACAGCCTGTGTCGGCAAGCTTTGCTTATCTGCTTTGAATTTGCTGGACTCGAAATTCCCTTTACTTCAATACCTCGCTTTTCTTCCGTTGTTTACTTGTGAATGCCGCTCTTTCTAAGGGTCTTTCGTCCGCATGCTGGAATGCTTCAGCTAAGCAGGTATAAGCTCCGCCTGAGTTAGGAAGCAGAAACTCTTTTGCGCAAACTGCCGCACCCATGTTGCCGAGCTTCACGACCGCCCCTGCTCGCAGGCCTGCCCTACTGTTGGCGCCAAGGACGGTGGAGTATTAGTTGTCCGTATGCCGGTGTATTGGTCTGTCTGTCCTTTGGCAGACTTGCTTTCCTCGCCCAGTCGAGTAAAAACACTCAACATGCTCCTCTCTAGCTGAGAGGTAGAGTCTCATGGGTACCAAGGTAGTAACTGTCGACGATTATTGTCAATTCACGTCCTTTGATGCGCACTTTTTGCACCCTTTGCCATGCAATTAACCACAACGGACGTACTGTCTTGTCCTTGAACGACGGCAAACTTGTGGATCCACTGTGGCGCTGCAGTCCTCCACAGCTGGGCGAAGCTTGCCGGATGCTTTGGGAGCTAGCCAAACTTTCTATATTTTGTGGCAAATGGGACACACCAGTGAGCGGGCACCTAGCGTGGCCAGATGCACGTAGAAGCACATTTATTAAGAAGGGGCCTAACAGTAAGGGCAGGGAGATAACGAGTACTTCCTTTTTACTTACTGAAGTGAAACCGCAGCCCGCATTATGGCGGGTTGACTTGGATGTATCCTGTCCCCGACAAAGTTTCCTAGAACACCTTCGAAACGGCGCTCACTGTTGGCTACAAGGTCATTACCACAAGAGAGAGGCAAAGAAGGAGAGAAACGATCCTCCTTGCTGCGGAACATGAGCAGGAAGAGAAGTGCAACGAGGGCCTCGTGGGCAACTTTCTCTTCGTGAACTTACAGTGAGGAGATAGAAATAAATCTGTGCAGCTCACTAAGCAAGGCAGCTGTCGCCGAGAGGAAGCCTGTTGCTGTGTGGCTACGTGACTGCAGAAAAGGGCTAGATGGCTGGAGGTTCATTATTGACTGAGTTCTTGCTCATCTTGCTCCCAAGCAAAGCACCAAGGAACCGCGTCTTCGAGGCGGTTGGCTAAGTGTGAGATTTTGTTAATTGCTGCTTCTATAAATGCAAGCTTTATAAGCCAGAAAATACGAATTTCTGCTGCGCTGGACGCCACGGCGTGATAGCCAGGGTGATCTTGGGGCAGTAAATATTCTCCACCCCGTCTGAAACGCGCCTCACCTGGTGGCTTGAAAAGTTACTCAGTATTTGCTTTGCCTTTACGAATTAATTTCATGCAGGAGTTCCTGGGCGGGAAAGCGATAAGGTTGAATCCGGGCTGGCCGCGACCTCGCTGGACTTTAGCCTGTGGTAAATGGGCTTCCTCTATGGCATGTGTTTCGGCTTTGAAACGTAAAATGAAGGAGTAACAAAAGAATTGCTTTCAGAAAGTGCCTTTAAGTTGCAGACCCATCTACCTGCAGCCTGTGTCTCGAGTCGAAGTTTCAGTCAGTGCCTCCTCCCGCCGCGAGTTCCCGAAGTAGTGCCTGGAGAGTTCAATGGGCTGTTCTCGATTTAGGGGAATTGAAAACACCAAAATTTTCTGGCTTTCCAAATATCCCTTTTTGGCTAGGAACTCAATTCCTCCACTCAGTGATCCAGTATACTAGGTGTTGCCTGCTGCCTTCGCATCCCTACGATATTGTATAGTGTCATAAAAAAGGGATCGGATTAGAGTGTTCTCATATTCAGCAGGCTCAGCGGAGGAAGTCTGAGCCAGATGCAGGGAAGCAATTAGAGTTGCAAGCACTGCTGAGGCTTTCCAAAATAATTCAAGAGCGGAACCCCCGTGGGGGAGGATCCGTGAACCAACTCGACATAGTCTTCACCCTTCCCCTAACAAACAACTTTTGCCTGTCAAGTGGCTCACGTTCAAAGGTATCCTAACAAACTATTTAGCTCTGGCAAGCTAGTAAAAGCTTCCAGTGTTCAAAATATTTTCTACATCTCAGACAGAGACCTTGTAAGGATTATTGCGGACCGAGTCTCACTATAGTCATGACTCAGCATGACTCAGCAGACACTTTTCATGAGCTTGCACTCTGATATATGGGCCTGTGGATGGCGATTTAGAGGCTTTCCAGCAGAATCTTTTGTGGAATCTGTCATCTCACGTTCATCAAAAAGCGACCCAGAGGACTGTTCTCGACATAAAATGTCGGGGGCAATGCTCCTTCTTCACACTGATTGTATATTGGGGTGGGAACCCCTTAGTTCTTTTCACCCCAAATGTTGCCCTGGGACCACTGCTGCTTCGGAGCAAACAGGGAACAGGCCAAATTTGTTAACTTTTAACGAGGTACATAGCTCTTCAAAGCCGAGTAAATTCCAAAAACAGCGCTCCACTACACTCTCTAGCGGCTTGCCTTTCGCAGAGCGTTGGAGGCGAAGAAAACTAATGAAGCTTGTAGACATCAAAATATGGTTCACACGGCCTTTTTCGTTCGTATATCGGATATATATATATATATATACACATATACATATATATATATTGCTAGTATAAAGGAGTCCGAATGAGAGAGCCAGTGGGCTTGATTTCCCATTGCAGCTATGAGCTCAGTTCATCCAGTATACAATCTGTTTGCATCCGGGCGTTCAAGCTCTATAAAGTAGTAGGGTAAAAAAGCTTTACACTTCTTTGAGTGTGATGGGGCAGCTAAGGGGGGCCTCATATGTCTTTACGTAGGGCGGCTTTACGGGCTATTTACGCTCGCTGCCTTGCAGGCATGATAGAAAAAGCCATTACCAGACATATGCTACTAAATTATGCCATAAAACGCTTACCTTTGGCCTTATTTATGGGCCTTCGATGCTCAGGCAATGTCTTACATAAGTTGGCACAAGGGGAAGTAAGTGCCCGAGTTGTTCAGACAACAATCTGCTTCAGAGCACTGGAATCATTTCCAGTGGATACGGATTACAAAACGGTCTTTCCACCATTTTTATTAATGTATTAGATGGAATAGAGGGCAGTTTATCTACATCTATGGTTAATACAGTTTCATAAAGAATAAATGCGCGAGAGAAGGGGACTCGGCGGAGAGAGTAGGCGGAAAAACCCCCTTGTGGCATTCCTTCTCTGACAATAATACCCAATTCTGTAGTGCCACTCGGATAGTCCCCCTAAACTGCACGTGAGTGGAGCCGTCTTTCAACGGAAATCTACTTTTGGCTTTTACTAAATTTCTAACACCCCGCTTGCGCTCAAGCCAGCGGCCGCCAGGAAGCAGCGCGGCAGTAGCTAGTGGGAATCCGCCAAATTTGGACGAAGTGCATTAACTACTAATAAACAAATTAATAGCATTAGCTGCATGCGCGTCTCCGGCTATTCCCCACAAAGGAAAAGGCCCTGTTAGAAGTGGGCTGCGGGGGTTTGGCCGCGGGCTGGGAGTCGCTGGCCGTAACTGCGCACAGACACTGCAGGCCGCTGGGCCTGCGGAGGGGGGGCTTAGGGGGGGCCTCTAGAAGGCGGTACTGCCCCGGGAGTTGAGTTTAAAAAGTCTTAAACAAGTGCTGTTTGTGGGCTGCTGGCGGGGGGCCGCAGGCGAAGAGGCGGCCACTTATTTGAGTTGGGAAAAGCCAGAAGACACCTGCAGGAGGAGAAGGCGTTGGCCTCGCGCTGCAGGTTGTGTGTCTCAAGGCGAGGTGTAGCCACTGCTGAACTTGCTGCGAGTGGCGAGGCTGCAGTGTGCAGGGGCGGGCAAAACGGCCTTTTTTGCGGCTCGAACTGCAGAATAAAAAGCCCCAGGGGCTGTGTTAATTGTTGGGAGTTGCCTTTTGCTTTTTACGTTTCGAAAAACTAATTAAAAGGGGCCAACTGCGAGTTGCACGGCGGCCAAGGAGCCCAGGTTGCGGAAGGTGACCCTGGAGCTTCGCGGGTGTCTGCCGCGCCGCCGCCCCAAATCCGCGCTGGAATTCCCTTTCCAGTTCAAAAAGAAATCGAATTAATTAAATCTAAAGTTCTAATTGTTGCAATAAAGCGGCGGAGAGCAGCGCAAGGCGGGAGGCGCGGGGCAAAGGTGCGCGCACATCTGAGTCGCTGCTGCGCAGGAAGGTTTGGGGTGTCTTCCTCTCTCCGGAGGTCTTTTAAAAGCGTTTCTGCAAATGAAGAAAGTTCAGATTGAGACTTTTTGGCGAATTAATCTTGTAGCTGCAAAGTAGTTTGGAATTTGGCTCGGTTGGCTCTTCGTGTGTCCGCTGGCGGCTGCGGTGTCTGTACACTTGCCGTTCGTTTCTGCTCTGCGGGTGCGCCTCGTTTGGATCTTCGAGACTTTCATTTTATTTTCTGCATTTCGAATTCCTTTCAAAGAAAAAGGGCCGCGGAGAACTTCTCTTCGCGAGCAGCGAGGCTGTGCGTCGCCGGTGCTGCTGTGAGCACACTGCGCGCGGCCGGCGTTTCTGGGGAGAACTTCGGCTCCAGAGCTTCATTTCTTTTCCTTTTTTCTTTTCTTTTCTTCTTTTTTTCTTTTCTTTTCCAGGGCCTGCTTGTTGCTGCGCCTTTCCGCTCCTCCCGCCTCTCCGTGTCTTTCCGTCTCAGCCGCATTTGCCCATCCGCCCCCATGTCGGACGCTGCAGTGCTCCAGCCGGCCCCCCTGGCCCCCTCTGCGGGGGAGGGCCTGTGCGCCTCGGGCGCTGCTGCTGCAGCAGGCACTGCAGCAGCAGCAGCAGCAGCAGCAGGCTGCTGCCCGGCGTGCCCGCAGCACGGCGTGCTGCTGTCGCAGCAGCAGCTGGAGGCCTCCGCAGCAGCAAACGCCAGCAGCAAACTGGTGGTCTACAAGGGCCTCGTCCTCGACGTCCAGGGCTTCATGCATCCCGGAGGAAATGATTTGCTGCAGCCTTTTTTCGGCAAAGACCTCACGGAGGCCTTCGAGGAAGTTGGCCACAGCAGCAGAGCGCTGCAGCAGCTGCGGGGGTTGGCTGTGGGCATTTTGGAGCAGCAGCGGGAGCTCTACGAGGCCTGGGCGGGCTCTGCGTGCCTCTGCAGCAGCAGCAGCAGCAGCAGCAGCAAGGCCAGCAGCAAGAAGAAGCCCGCCAAGCCTGCTGCTGCTGCTGCTGCAGCAGCAGCAGCACACGACTCCACCACGGACAACGAGTCCGAGACCTCCCTGGGCAGCGACGGCAGCAGCAAACCCGCGGGGGGCCCCCAGGGGGGCCCCCATGGGGGCCCCCAGGGGGGCCCCCCTAACCTCGAGACTTTAATAGACTTTTCTAAACCCTTAGTGCCTCAAATATACTACATGAGACATGACCTTTACAAGTACTGTTCCCAAACTCCCCAGTGCACTGACAAGGTCTACACTTTGCTGCCTTGGCCCAAGTAAGTCCTGCTGCTGCTGCTGCTGCTGCTGCTGCTGCTGCTGCTGCTTGTTTGCTGCTTTTCTGTGTGGGGCGTTTGCGCGCGTTCCGCTCCTGCTGCTGCTGCTGCTGCTGCCTTGCTTTCTGCGCCGCCGTCCGCGCCGCTGCTGCAGCTGCTGCTGCTGCTGCTGCTGCTGCTGCTGCTGCTGCTGCAGGCTGGAGCCGCTGACGAAGACGCGGTGGTGGCAGGTGCTGCTGCTGTGGGGCCCCGTGTGCTGCTACTTGGCCTGCTGCTCCTTCCAGGCCCACCCCTGGCCTTGGAGTCTCGGAATGCTTTTTTTTGGATTTTTTATTTGGACTTTTGTTGAGTATTGTTTGCATCGTTTTTTGTTTCATTTTCCCGAAGACAAACTCCCGGACAGCGGCGCAGTCCGCGTGCTGCACTTCCTGCTGCACTCCGTCCACCACATGCTCCCCATGGACCCTCTCCGGTGCGTTTTTT